TTTGCCGGAAACTGGCAAAAAGACACCAAAAAATGCAGTCATGTGACTCTGGGATGCTGCATATGGCCATAAAGACGAGCTGGTTGTCAGGCACTCATAATGCAATCAAATGACCAGAGTGTGTTTGTGGCTGTCAGAACTTTGGAACTGGGTCATAAATACCTTTTAGGGTGTCTGTCATAAGTTAAATGAACACTATCTCTATTGAAGAAGAAAATACATGTAATAAAGCAGTAGAGAGATTAAAAACAGAGAACATTGAAAACATTTTTACATTTCTGGGTGGGAAAACCAAATAGGACATCATAGCAGTGTTCTAGTAAATGATTTGGAAAGAGAATCCAGAAAAAAAAACACATGAACAAGAAAATATCTTGTTATTCATGACTTGCCTCCAAGAACAATACTATGGAAAAGAATTTTCCATTCCCTATATAAATTAACCAGAAATAAGTGTTCTTCTGAAATGTAATCTTTCTTTGAATTACAACAGGAAATAGACTAACAGTTAACATTATTCCAAAGCTGATGAGATTGATCTCTTGACACCATAGTTTTCGTACACACATGACTGAAATTAAAGCTATAATCCTGGGCACAATTTGAACTGAGTTTCTAATGAAATTCAGAATAAATATGCTTTGCATTACAGATAGTCCTCAATTTACAACAGTTCATTTAGTGACTGTTCAAAGTTACAACAGCACTGGAAAAATGATGTATAACTGTTTTTCACACTAAAGACTGTTGCAGCATCCTCATGGTCACATGATCAAAATTCAGATGCTTGGCAGCTGACTCATATTTATCATGTTTGCAGTGTCCCAGGGTCATGTGATCAACTTTTGTGACCTTCTGACAGGCAAAGTCAATGGGGAAACCAGATTCACTTAACAACTGGGTTTCTAATTTAACAACTGCAGCGATTCACTTAACAACTGTGGTAAGAAAAGTTGTAAAATGGAGTGAAATTCACTTAACAAATGTATCACTTAGCAGCATAAATTTTGGGCTTAATTGCGGTCGAAAGTAAAGGACTACCTGTATTGAATAAGCAGATATGCTGGTGATTGAGATTAGTCAATTAATCAATCAATTAACCTTAATCCCAAACTAAAAAAAAGTTTGTTGCAAAAATTCTGTAGTCATTCTTGAACAAATGTTAAACCCATATTTTGATTCTGCTTTGTAAGTTATTTCACAAATCCTTGACAACTTTAATAAAAACTACAACTCCATTACCCTGGATTAATGATGATTTTTTTCAATTAATTATTAACCATGTATTTCTCTTCTATTCAGGTATTAACAATGTATTTCTCTTTCTCCTAGGCTTATCTTACAGAATTTTTAAGCCAGTTTGCCCAGCAGCCTTGCTATGCAATGTTCTCAGACCATCTGAATGAAAATGAAAGAAGAGTTCTTCAGACCATTGGCATATAAATCCAGAGTATCTTGATAAAATCTAGGCAACATTTTCTGGTTTAGTTCACATTTTTGACCTAAACAGGGAATACTTCCTTTATTCACAAAATATTACAAATATGATTAATCTTTATTTGGAAGTACTGCTTGTGATTTAGAAGGCGACAAAAGGCAAATATGCATGGAGTTTCGCATATTGAATTCGCACAATGGGAACACTATTCTTCTGATAAACTTTCCAGTTTGGCTCTAAAAGGTTTTCCTCTACTGAAAAGGCACTTCACTGACAGTTTTACAGCACAGTTTAATGAAATGAGGAAGGAGCTGTTATCACTAGCTTGTTTATCTAGAAATTGGAAGTTTGTCCCGCTTCACACTTTTGTTACGCAGGGTATATTATCTTGATCTAACCAGATGACATTTTTTGATATAGACATTTGGAATGAAATGGAATCTGCTTGCAGTCCAATACTTTGAATTAAAACCTGAAAAATAAAAATGTTAACTTGTTTCCATTTATAGAAAACCCTTGGGGTTCTAACATTTCATAATTCTGTAATAAAACTATCATGAACCCATATTGAGCAGAATTGCTACATTAAAACTCAGTTCCTGTGGTTACTGATGACTTTTGTTTAGAAACCAAACTTTTTTATATGAACTGATTGTTTTTAACTTGTTTATTTACTTCTTGAATCCATTTCTCCAAAACTGTTTGCTTTGTTCACACAGGATTATACAACTGGCTAAACCATAGTTCACAAATTAGTAGAAATATTTTTTATAGGGTAGTAAAATTAATATTGCTGGTTACTCTAAAAATTAGGATACCAATGCATCTCCCAACACCTTTTTGCCTTTTTCTCCCTTTTATGGGAAATGAAATAAAAGTATTCAAACATAAATTGGTATTGTCTTTTTAAAATTCAGAAAAGAAAATGGTATCCACTTAGAATGCTGTATTTCTGTATAAATTTGGAATGCAACTTTCTGGTTAATGTGTAACATTAATTAATCTATGTTGATTTCAAACTGCTTGAAGTGTAATACTATAAGAAATTTATTTCTGTGAAATGCCAATTACATGAGTATTTCTGGCTCATCAAAAAGCTAGGACTTGCACAGAGTTACAGATAGTATATCCCTGACTTCCTTGAGAAAGATAATATGTATGAAAGTATCTAAGTATTTCCCTCGTATGAATGAAGTAAATCTAACAGAAACTAAATTTTAGCATACCATAAATTTAGTTCTAAGAAAGTTTCTTTAATGATTTCTGCTTTAGGATGTTTAATATAATTAAATTGCTAATATATTTTTATGTGGACATTGAATGAGAATTCTTGTCCATTATCACTTGAATTAGAACCCTTTTAGCTTGATTGGAAATGTTAGTTATAATGATAATTTAGAAATCCCCTTTTAACTTCAAACTAAATTTGGAATATTTTATTTTAGGCAAGTAATAATTTATCTGATGTGCTGATACTTTTTTTTTATAGGACATTTCCAAAAAACTATGACATAACTTATTAATTTTTTGTTTCTATTCTCTCAGCAAAATATTTGGTCAAATAGATAAAATAGATACCTTAAGCTTTTTTCGTCTCAAAGTGGACAACTTGGGAATTTGTAATGCAAAAGTCCAAGTATTATAAAATCTTTTCCATTTAAAATCGTCTGCCCTGTTATTCCCTAACTTTCAGGATTTCAAAAGTATATCCATAAATAACACCTATTTTAAATAAAAGAATAGTAAAAATAACTTTTCATCTTAGATCTGAAGTACATAAAAGTATATCTTTATTATGACATTAAAATCATTAAGGATAGCTGAACAAGTTTCATATTTATCATTTAACCTTACTAATATAAAAAATTCTTTTATTTATTAAGTACCTTTATTTACTAAAATGGACATAAGACTACCTCATTATTATTGCTATAATATATACTGGATACTTGAATAACTACATCAAACTTTAATCAAGAAAATGCAAGCAGCTTCCCCTTTTTTAAAATTAATAAACTATATTGTTTAAGGGAAATTCTTGATTTCATATACACAGAGCAAATATTTCATAAGATCAAAAGTAATTTTAGATACTATAAATGTACAAACATTGCCCTTTATTCTATATGCAAAGATCATACCTGTACATTTATGTGTTTAAATTATGAGAAAAAATGGCTGCTCCGTTCATAAGACTACATCATTGATTCAGGTGATCAAGAAACAACTATTTAACTATCTGTTTCTACATACCCAGTAAAGTGAAACTCCCCAGCTCTTTGAGTATTTGGTTGTCTTTTACATGTACTTTGTAACTTGATGCCTTGTCAGTTTCCTATGCTGCTAATTGAGTTGTCATATTAAAACAATTTGTGGGTGAATACATTTATTCCTTCTGAGTTCTATAGTGCTTCTGAGTTGAGAAGTCTGCAATTTTTGTCCCATAGGTTGTTTCATGCATAAATAGACTTTTAAGGATAGCTGTGTATAAAGTCTTTATATAAAATAAAAGTATCTACAGAATGTATACTTAAAATAAGATGATTTGACAGCTATCAGTAAGGATCAAGACTAGCTTACAGACCTATATAGAAAAATATAAGTATGTAAGCAAACAGCACAATATTGATTGCAACGTCTAGTGTCAACTTGGTTTTTATCACTTTCTGCCCTATTTTATTCATAGTTTTACTTTACTACTGTTAGATGAAAAACATTCCTGGGAAAACATATCCTTGGGCATATATACCTTATTGATACAAAATATGAAATTCTTGAATGTACATTTTTTGAGAATTATCAAGGGTTCTAGCAAATCCCATCTTGTTTTCTTGAAGAAAGTTACACAAATAATAATAATAAAGTTTGAAGGGATCTTGGAGGTATGGACACTTAAGTGCGTGTCCATGCTGAATACATTCACCATACTTTGTAGTGAAAAGTAGTAGGCACTCGTGTTGTAAAAAAAATGTAGAGGAAGACAGATCAGTCAAAACTAATAGATAAATTAATTATCTTACTTTTGATCATTCCCTTTAATTTCTGTTCAAATTGTCCTTTAATTGCCTTCAATTGAAAAGGCAAACAATAGTTGCTTAACTAAGTTTGATGTCTTTTCACATTCAACATGGTCTTTGACATCTTTTAGAAAAGTTGAGAAACTGAATTGTTTCTAATGGCTTATAGTTTTCCCCCTCCTGTTTAACAAAATGCTATGTCTTAATTAATATTGAAATGACTGATCATTACTTTATACGTTCATCCTAGGCTGCCTGAATCACAATTTTAATATATAGTTCACAAGCTTTTTTTTTTTTTGTCTTGAACGTTTGGCTGCCGTTGCCACGTTACAGCATAATTGAAACACGTACTTCGAAAGAGTGTATGCGACTCAATGATCAGAACCATGTATAGTTCGAATACAAGCTATAAAATGAAATGATCACCCTTGAAAATGCTACTCCAGGAAGCATGTGGCATGCTGGGAATTGTAGTCGGATTTCCGAATAAGAAACGGTCTCGGCGGGACCGTGGGATGTCGGGAATTGTAGTCGACGTTCGGTCTTGGTCGATGTCTTCGGCAGCAAAAGCCGGGCCATGGCGGCTGAGGCCAACTCTGGCGGGCGGTCCAAGGTGGCGCCCAGCGTAGATTTTGATCATAGCTGCTCCGACAGTGTCGAATACCTGACTTTGAACTTCGGGCCTTTCGAGACGGTGCACCGGTGGCGCCGCCTCCCGCCCTGCGATGAGTTCGTCGGGGCTCGGTGAGGCGTCTCTGGGGTCTGCGGGGGGCTCGGCTTGGTGTGGGGCTGAACAACGTGTAGGAGCCACCGACGAAATGCCGGACCGGAGGTCGGTTTAGGGAAGGGATGTAAACCGAGGTTGTCTTCTCTTTTCTTTCCAGTCGTAGCAAGCACACCGTGGTCGCTTATCGAGATGCCATCTACGTCTTTGGTGGGGATAACGGGTGAGTCTCCCTACGTTCCTCCCTTTGGTTGTAGCCCATCCTGTCCCTCCACGCAAAACAAATGCTGGCTCCTTTTGCGCTTCCCCGCTCCCTAACATGGCTGGCTTTAATAAGAGCACACATAGTTTTTCCCAGACAAGGTTTTCTAAAGATGAGGATGCAGAGATTGTGATGGGAGTAAGAAGGATTATTTAGGAAATAATGTCCATTATGCAATTCTTACCGTGAGAAAGAAAAGAAAGAAGCAAAGGAAACTGGAATGTTTACAGTGATGGAGGTTCCTCTTAAATATTGCCTGTCATGAAAATATTGCTAGGCAGAGCACTTTCTTTTCTCACTGCATATTAAAAAAAAAAAGAGTGTGGGCATAAAAAGGCAAACTGGACTTGAGTAATTTGCAAGAGTATTTCTAACCACTTAAAACTGGGATGGGAATCTCTGGATCCTCTGGCTACAGAATCCCAAAGGATTTCATGAGGCAACTGGACCTTCTTGTTTTTCTTTGAAGACCTGGATGACTGAGAATCTCCATAGACATCTGGGTGCAGAGGTTTCTCTCCCCTGTTTGAGATGTGTTAGCTCCATTTTGCCTGCTCCATGACTTTCTCTTTAGGAAAACACTTAAGGGGCCAAAGGCAGTGATGATCGCCTTGGAATGCCTAACTCTCTTCCCTTGAAGAGTGCCATGGAGTACCAAAAGTAATGAGTACAACTATAAGCCTCCTGGCTTTTCCTTCCACCTTCCCCCCAATCTTTCTCCTCAAGAAAAGACTGGGACAAACCATCTCACTTTAATGTGACTCTATATGCAGCTTGCAGTAAAATACATAAAATGCACAATATGAAAAATAAACCAGTCATCCACACAGCCACTAGACAGGCTCTATCATGCCCAGGGCCCAGGTTTTAGGCACAGGAACCAAGTTTTCAAGGTCTTGAAAAAATGTGAATATAATTCAACTGACTGGAAATTGTGATCATATCCAATATATCGATGTAATATGTAAGCTAAAAATTGTGACAGGAATATCCAAGACGGTCAGTCAGTCTAGTAGAATATGAACAGTCTATCTGTCTGAGTTTCCACTTAAATTGGAAATGTCTCCATTCAACATGACAGTAATAGATCTTTAGCTAGAATATATATTTTGTTTCAGAAAATGCATGCTTAAGGATTTACCAACATATATAAAATTTCTGAGGTCATCCCTATGGGAAGGGACAGTGCAATAGCAATTTTATTTGCATCTACTTTGAATATGCTTTACTTTGTCTAGTGCACAGTGATTGCTTTTATGATTGCTGTAAAAATAATTCCTATATAATTTGCAAATGAAAGAACTTTTGTTAGCCCTGAAAATATGACATTTGAAGATACTAAGATAAATTTTAATAAAAAGGGGTTTATGTCATTCTACCATTACAGATTTCAAAGAAGGGAATTGTAGTGTTATTACCAAAAATGTATAGTCTTTACTGAGTCAGTATTGTGTCATTTTCAAACAAATTATTAAAAGCATAAATAAGACATTTGCTTGAGGCATTTACAAAACAAGTATGAACAAGCAAAGTTTTAAGTTATAAATATTTACGGTATTCTGTTTCCGTTATATTTATTTGTAAAATTTATCCTAATATAATTGTTAAAGAGGTTACTGTTTTTCATTTGATTTAAAAATGGTTAGAAACCAAATAATAAGTAGATTTTAGCTGAGTAAATTTCTTTCATCTATGAAGATTCTTTAATAATATTTTTGTGGCTTCTGAATATACATTTATATATTGCTTTCCTTACTTTGAAGAAAAACTATGTTGAATGACCTGTTAAGATTTGATGTGAAGGACTGTTCTTGGTGCAGGTACATTTCTATTTTTAATAAATGTCCCATATTACCAATATTTGAATGAATTAGAGCTTCTGAATATTTGATAAAATGAGAAATTATTTATTTTTCATGATGGCAATATACTTTATTGTTGTGTTCTGATTTGGAGTCAAAATAAGTTAAAGGCATGTTAGAAAGAGAAAAACAATTTTGAACTTTTAAAAAGATTTACAGAATGAGCATGTAACTTTAAATACATTTACTATAGTTTCTTGTAACTAAATATATTCAGGATTGTATGTTTTATAATAGTAAAATGATAAAATATACTATCACAGAATTTTATCAAGTGCCCAAATTTCTTCTGAACAAATATTTAAGATGTTCATAGATTATACAAGCAGGGGTGTCAAACTCGCAACGTCACGTGATGTGTCGCGACATATCGCGACTTTTTTGCCATTGCCGGCAATGGGATGGGCGCGGTGTCACTATAATGCATTCAGCCCACAGGCCGGCAGTTTAACACCCCTGATATAGAGGAGCAATTACATATAACTGGCAAATTCATAAAATATGTAAGAATGTTGCTAATTTAAATATGAAATACAGTGCTCTACCTACCTACCTACCTACCTACTTAACTATCTTATTCCTAGCCCAGTAAAATTATTTTAGTAGAGCTGGAAAACATGCAAAGCAAAGTATCTACACCTGTGCCCTTTTGTAGACAGTTGGAGGTGGCTTCCAAAGGAGCTACAGTCATTTGGAAAAAAGCACAACAGCTTTAATATTTTAAAAATATGTGCTTCATACAGACTGCCTTTCATCTTTCAAAAATATTATTAGTGTTGTTAATTGAAAATATTTCCTTTGTTCTTGGATGTAAATATAGGACCTCCAAAGAACTTTTTTGTTATATGGCAGGCAATCTGAAAACCCTTGCTGATCTATAATTGTTTTGTTTTGGCCACTTTTGCTATGAAAGACATTAACTTAAAAATACACACAATCAACATTTACATGTTTTTTCATTAAAGTACCATATTAATTAAATCTATTTTTTTTTATTTCAACGTACTGTTGTGTGTTGTCCTGCATAGGGCTTTTACTACTGGGACCCCACCAGCACCAAGGTATCACCATTCAGCAGTAGTTTATGGAAGCAGCATGTTTGTATTTGGTGAGTTATCTGAACACTAAATCGGGTTCTATGCATAATTTGGAATATTGGTGAATTAACATGAGGAGTTAACAACAAACGTATATAGCACTGACAAAAAATAATTGATAAATGTTATCATTGAATACTTTCATGAATGTCAATAAGGTCTGAAAACAATATGGAACAAGATAAGCTTAAAAACTGACAGTAGGAAAACAGTGCAGGAATCAGACATAATGCAAAACATACCAGTAAATAAAAAATCAGTATAAGTTAACACAATATAGACATGACAAGTTCTGAATATCATGTATGTTTTTATGAACTATAAAAGCATTAATTGGTTTGCTTTTGGTAACTATATTTGGTAACTATATTTATTGCCCTGTTGTAAGTAATAACTTATAAAATTATGCAAACTGTCTCTTTTATAATAACATTATTATGTAGGTGGCTACACTGGAGATATATATTCCAATTCCAACCTGAAGAACAAAAATGATCTTTTTGAATATAAACTTGCAACAGGCCAATGGACTGAATGGAAGATTGAAGGAAGGTAAGAGTGTATGTATTACTACATAAACCTGTAAAAAGTATAGAACAGCACTCAGAGTAGTAATTTTGTATATAATTATGAAGGCTGCAAAGTGTCTAGAGATTTCAAAATTTTGGCCTTGTCAGTTGATAAACAGTAATAACATTAAACTCACTATGGTAGCAGTCTTTCAATTCTTTTGCCCCCCCCCCCCAAAAAAAAAAAAAAATCAGTAAAAGGCAGGAATCAGTGACTGGTTTTGCAGATAATGCTAAATAAAGAACAATTGCTTTTATTTAGTCAGGATCCCAAATCAAACTAAAACTAAAAAAAAAAAATAGGCTGTTAAAATGTGCCAGCTCTTGATTTAGGTAAACCTAAAACCTTGCTTCTATATTTGACTTCAGTAATGTAGAAAGAAAAACATTCAATTAACTGTTGCTTTTTTTTCTTGACAAGCAACTGTAACTGAATTACACTTTGCTTAGCCTGAGGAAGGATCTGAAGTTTTTAATGTGTTGGTTTGTTTCTGCTCTCATTAAACTACAAGTACCAAAATCTAGAGATCTAAATTATTTATTCATCCATCTATCTCTCCATCCATCCAAAGCAATTCTGGCCAGCTAACATAAAATTAGAAGAATAGTAAGGTAAAACAGGTAAAACATATCAAATCTAATACATAGCATCATCAAATCTAATACATAGCATCCAGATCAGAGATATTATGTAGGTTTGCCCAAACTTATTGTATTCCAGTAAAAAGTTCTTGTAGCATGTAGCCAAAAAAGTATATGGTGTTCTGTACTAAACTTAGCTATTCCCCAAATAGTTACATTTTGATAGTATTCATTCATTTAGGTATGTAATAATCAGCCTTTTATCATGCTTGTGTAATTGTATTAGCAGTTAAGGTACTAGTAAATTTGTCTTTATTTTAGATTACCAGTTGCCCGGTCAGCTCATGGTGCAACCGTCTATAGTGATAAACTGTGGATCTTTGCAGGATATGATGGAAATGCACGGTAAGATACATTATTTGTCTGAGGCTATGATTATTTTTATTAATAATTATAAAACCATTCATTTTTAAGACTCTTGATATGATAGGATAAAGATAGATTTACTTACATGCCTTTATTAGTATTTTAATTTACTGTTGTTTTATTATGATATTCAGAAACTGATAATTAAGGCCTAATCTGTTTGCAATTTATCAAGGAATTTAAATGAAATAAATTATATAAACTTTGTTGTTCTAACATATCTTTCTTCATTGGAAAAATTTGTTTCCATTTTCTGGAACCTCTCTTCTCGAGAAAATTAATTAGTAATAATATATAATATGTAGCCAAAGTTATTTCTAAAGACTATAATAAATTCTTTACTGTCTCCCCAACTTCTGATAGTTGCTTGTCTCTCCAGTATAATTCTTTCCTAATCCAAAAGAAATTCTCGGAGGGTTATTAAAAATATAGATAATTGAATTTTAAATGTTTGAACATATTTTAGGAGTTTGGAATCAATTCCTTACATTAAAAAATAGAACCTCTTTCAAAAAGCTCCTTCAGATTTTCCATGGATTAATTTCCCTGTACGGGAGAGAAGATGGGAAATAATCTTTGACACAAAATCCAGGCGTTATGTCTTGGAACTAAGGCTATCACAATTGCTTATAGTGAAGATGAATGACAGGGATTATAGGCTGCACATTGTACTCCTTTTGGCCCCCAAATCCCACAGTTTCCTTGGGATTACTGAAGTTTGGCTTTTGTCATTTTGAGCTGTTAGGGAACTTGTAATGTATATTCAGTTCTAATATCTCTTAGGGCCTTGGATTGGAAATTTTCCCTCAGATAAAATAGATTGTGCTGTTATTGTTACATTCCTAAAAGTATATTAAAAGGTGTATTTTCCTTCAATACAGATTAAATGATATGTGGACTATTAATTTACAAGACAGAGATTTAACGTGTTGGGAAGAGGTAAGAAAACTGACTATTAATATTTTAATATTGTTAAATATTGAGTTAAAATATAATTCCTCAGTGAGAGTTGAGGTTAATCTAATTGGAGATGGATGGGAGAGAGGGAAATAGATATTTCTAATTCAACAATTGTCACTATTTTCGAAACACATTTGAACAAAGTATTGGCTGTGTAGTGCTAACTGTGTGCAATTCTTTATATTTAAAATATATTGTTCCTGCTGGATTTTAACCTAGGGTAACTAAGATTGAAATCCTTATTTTTAGGCATAGGCTTATTAAATGTATTTTTACTTTTGGCAAGGGTACACAGATATGTAACCCATGTAGTTGAGCTTTCAGTACCTGGATTTAAAAAGTTTAGTTCCTGTTTATTTTTTGATAGTATGAACAAATCACAATACATTTCAGTCTTCAAAGTAACAATGATTCTATAATATATAGATCTAGAGAAATACTGAGATTGCAGGTTTCAACACAAGACATTTGCAATTTATTTTCAGATTAAACAGACTGGTGAGATTCCCCCTTCATGCTGTAATTTTCCTGTAGCTGTCTGCAAAGAGAGGATGTTTGTTTTTTCTGGCCAGAGTGGAGCAAAGATTACCAATAACCTTTTCCAGTTCGAATTCAAAGAAAAAATGTATGTATGAAATATAACTGAGCAAAATCAAATAAGTTTATGAATGAGTATCATAGATATATCTATAGAAATGTTTACTGTAATTTAAATTCAGAAGTTCTTGAAAATTGATTTGGAAAGCATTCCTCTGATTTTATCTGATGTTGCCATCTTTTTATTCTAACATCTTTTTATTGTTGTAATGCCATTATGTTTTTATTTTTGTTCTATATCTTACATTATATTTTTTTTCTTTGTAATATGCCAAGAGTCATTTTTATTGCAGTAGCATAGAAATATGTCTAATAAATAAATACATTTCTATAAGGTATGCCAGGAGAAAATTGTCAGTTTTGAGGGAAATAAAGTTCAATGGAAACATTGAAGAAAATGCTACTGAAAATGAAAACCAGGAGAGGGCTCTGAGGTTTGTGTGCGTGTGCCTTCAATTTTGTTTTTGACTCCTGATGACTGCCTGGACAATCCCCTGCACTTTTCTTGGCAAGAGTTTTTGGAAGTAGCTTGCCATTGCTTTCTTCCTAGGGCAGTGATGGTGAACCTTTTAGAGACCGAGTGCCCAAATTGCAACCCAAAACCCACTTATGCATCGTCGAGTGCCGGGTGGGTGTGGCCCATTGGCTGGGCGTGGCCCATTGGCTGGGCATGGCCCATTGGCTGGGCATGGCCCATTGGCTGGGCATGGCCCATTGGCTGGGCGTGGCCGTGGTGGTAACGGCAGACTGGGTAGGACTAAAAAGTTCAATCAATCAATTTCAACTTTGCAAGATCTTTTTTTTTCCCGCGAGAAGTTGAAATTGACTGATTGAACCTTTTTTTTTTTGCACACGGCAGCGGAGGCCTAAAGCGAAAAGGTTTTATAAAACCCAGCTGAAGGCCTAGGACTCGGGCGATGGCGCACGTGCCCACAGAGAGGGCTCTGAGTGCTGCCTCTGGCACCTGTGCCATAGGTTCGCCACCACTGTCCTAGGGTGTGAGAGAGTGACAGGCCCAAGGTCGCCCATCTGCCTTTGTGCTTCTGTGGGACTAGAACTCAGTCTCCCAGCTTCCAGTCCAGTGGCTTAACTGCAATATCAAACTGGGTCACAGGAGTAGACTATAGAATTTAGTTTACTTGAAGTAATACTGATTACTTCTGTATTTCTGTTGTTATATATATTAAAGCAATAGACCTACATGGATTTAGCTTTACAGTTAATTATTATTCAAATATTTAATCATTATAATTTTATAATAATTATAAAATCATTATTATAATAATTTTCCTTTCTGTGAAGCGTGACAATTGTTGGAGGAGTTGTTGGGCCTGGATGTAGCTTAGTGTATTCCTGGTTTAGAAAATGAAACTCTAAAAATTCAATTAATAAATACTGTTTGTTTTTTAAAATATCAGTTGGACACGAATCCCTACCGAACACTTACTGCGGGGGTCTCCACCTCCTCCCCAAAGGAGATATGGTCACACAATGGTTGCTTTTGATCGCCATCTATATGTGTTTGGTGGTGCTGCAGACAATACATTGCCTAATGAACTTCATTGCTATGATGTTGACTCTCAGACATGGGAAGTTATCCATCCAAGTCCAGATAGTGAGGTAAGAATATAATTAATTGCCTTTAATTATCTTTGCAAAATCTCTGATTTAACAAATAGATTTCCTATATGAGAGAAAGAATTATAAGGAAAAAGAAATAATAAAAATAGTATAAATGCTGTTATTAAACATGGAACAAATTACCACTAGAATTGAAAAAAGATTATGTTACAGCTTAGGAAGGGAATAAAAGTATTCACTCAGGCCCTTTAACATTTTAGAGTTTTAATGCTGAATATGTTAAATTTTTAGTTTAGTTTTTTATGTCTTGTTTTAATGTTTGTTTTATTGCACTTTTGTAAGCTTCTCAGATCCATTAAGGAAATGGATGCTATCCAATGTGTGGAGTGTATATGTGTTTGATTGGGTCTGTTCCTGGATAAAAAGGGCATTTAAATCACAGCTAGACTATTGATGAGAGGTGGAGCATTGTGAAGTGGTAAACAAAGTGAGAGCTTCACCTATAGGGGATATATCTACTCTTTTCTTATGACTAGTAAGATATTAAGGGATCTGACAATTTTCCCTGTTTTTTTTTTACTGTATTAAAAAGACACTATCCTTTTAAAGTATGAACTAACCAGTAAATAGTATAACTATATGTGATAGTGGCTCATCATATGTGCTGTATTTCCCACACAGTTGTGTTGAATCTTAGGCCTTGAAAATTTGATTTTACAGCCAGAAAATATTAGTTACAGAGCACCAGTGAAGAAAATTGAGTTTGAGGTTGTGCACTGTAATATTTGTAAAGGGAATATTTTGCATTCTTTGTTTCTAGTTACCAACTGGAAGACTCTTCCATGCTGCAGCTGTTATCTGTGATGCCATGTATATCTTTGGCGGGACAGTGGACAATAACATCAGAAGTGGAGAAATGTATAGATTTCAGGTAATATATTGAAAGCATTGGTCATCAATTAATATAAAAAGATAAGGCTTATTACTTTAAATTTTAACAGTGAACAACTTTTAAAATATTTTTTAGTGTTTAGTATTTGCCTCATAGAAATAATAATAATAATAAATCAAATAATGTCAGCACTATTAATATTGTCTTCATAGAATTCTGTTTTGGAGCATTGCCCTTTGATCAGGAAGAGACTGCTACACCTTATATTGAGTTGTAGGGAGATATAAAAATATTACAAATTCTTTTTTATGGAATATAATGGAAATGTTTCCTTCTATCTTTAGCTAGTTGAGATCTGATGCACAGGTTGAGAGCAATGTTAACTTTTCACAGAAACAAGTTAAAGTGTAAAGTTATTACACTAAGGAAGCATCAAGATCTAGCAGAGTTATTTTCATTCACAGAAATTTAGAATCCAGCTGATGTGATTTCATATTTGAACTTGTGTTCTCCCACCACTTTTCAGACCATTTTTCTTTTTGTGTAAAATTGAGTAGTTTCTGACATTGCAAGCTCTCTAATTTTATTCCTGGGTCTTCTGAACAGTTTGTACTGTAAATTTCTAATATTTCATATATATAGGTTTTCCATGTAGAGTTGCCTCCTTATGGTTGTGTTTCAAGAAACCACCTACACTACTATTTCCTTTCCTTTATCTTATCTCATACCATTAGTTTCTTTCTTATACTATTTATTGCCCATTTTCTGTATTCTGCATAACATTTCCTGTAGGCATAAATTAATTAGGTTAAAGTTTTTCATTCTAATATTTCTTATGAAAATGCTGTAGAGCAAATGGAGTTAAATCTTCTAAATAATGAAGCATTATATTGGTTCAATGACATAAAAAGTTAATAACACTTATGTAATCTGTTCATGCCAAACTATGATTCGTAGCAATAAAACTTCCCATTTCAGATTGTAACATAGCAATAACTCTTGATTTCAGTTTTCTTGTTATCCAAAATGTACTTTACATGATGACTATGGAAGACTATGGGAAAACAGGCAGTTCAGTGATCTAGAATTTGTACTTGGGGAGGTAAGTGAATTCTAATAACATGACTGAAAAGATTTTTCCACAGTAAATATATGTTTACATGATCCATTATCTATATACTATGTACTTTGTTTGTTATTTGTCAATATGGTTGTATTAACTGCTGATAAGGGGCTTGAAAAGATTTCCAGAGGCCATGCTGTGTTTGATTTCCCTATTATTTTGATAAAGAAAAGTTGCACTGTACTTAGTCTATGCAAGTGTGTAATAACATTGGAGAGCAAGAACGAATTGGTGGTATAAATTCCAGTGTGATATAGAAACATAAAGTCAGTGTTGATATTTAATCTTAGAGATCACCTACAAGTTCTTGATCAGTGTAAGATTTATCATGCAAAATGTTACAATGGCATACCAAACAGACAGACTTCTAATTTCTGCTAAAATGCATGTAGTGAACCTGAGTTCACAACTAAAACAGTCTGTTCTATTTCTTCACAGCTCCTGTGATCCCCAACCTTTGCGGCTTGGCAGCCTGGCTGGGAGGAAGAGCAGGCCAGTGCACACGTGTGCACAGCTCAACATGTGCGAGTGTCAGGCTGACGGCATATGCATGCGCATACAGCTCAACTTATGCAAGTTGAGCTATGTGCATGTGTACATACGTTGACCCGATGCTTGTGCAAGTTGAGCTGCATGCGCACATGCGTGCTGGCCCGCTGTTTGCGTGGCCCAGGGGTTGGGGATCCCTGTATTAGGGAATTTCTTCTAATGCTTAAAAGAAAGCTGAGAAAGTGAAAAATGTGTTTTATTGTCATCTCTGCTTTTGAGACATGAACAAACAGCTAAAGACAGCGGTTTTCAGAACCTTAAGAACAGATACTTCTCCAGTGCCAATATAGTTATTATCAGTCTTGATTCCAGAAGAATGTCAATGAGATAGTTACTCCTTATATACATACCATAGATGAACTGTCTTATTGGTTTGCTATATACTCTCAGCCTATATAGTACTCATTTCCTTGGCTTTGTAATATCTGTTCATCCACAGATGAAATTCAAAAAGTGAATTTTTCTTTCAGCCCCTATCCATAATTATCAGAGAACATAAAGAAAAGCAAATTGCTTCTCTATATGTTTAGAGTTCAAGTGGTTTTATGTTCACACAGGCTACTGCATTGCAGGTTTTTATTCATCATTTCTCTAGTTTGCTTCAATTTTATTGGTGCTGTATTAGATGAGAACTGAATAGAATTAGTCCTCTTGAAAATAGGGAGAATACTCTTTCAGATTTTTTTCACAGTTGTAGAAGCTTCCTAAAATAGATCTTGTGCAGATACAGAACCTATATGAGTGACTGCCCAAATGACCATTCATAGTGAATTAATAATTGTAACCAGTCTTTTTCAATAAAAATAAACAATGTTTTTTACTCAAAAACTGGCTAAGAATTTTTTTAGGGTTCAGTGATCAGTAAAATCCTGCTATTCTTTTTCCATGCTGTCTCCTTATTGCTGACAGAAAGAAGAGAGGGTCCGAGGGCATACAGCTATTGTCACAGCTCGCTGTAAATGGCTCAGGAAGAAAATTACACAGGCAAAAGAAAGGCTGAAACAGGTATGATTTATTACAAATACTTATTGGATCCCTATTTTCCAATTTATCTTCTGGGGTAAATTAAGCCAACATGTAAATTGTTGAATGTTTAACCATAAAAATAAGTTAGAATAAATATGTTTGTTTGTAGCAATCGGCTCTCCTCTCCAAGAATAAGTCCATCAGGCCATTTGTTTGTGATTTGTTTATAGCAATATATTACTGTAACAAGCATACAACAAAGGATATTACTACTGGAATTAACTAGAGAACATTGCCATGGTTTAGCTAAAGTTTAAGGATTATGTTCTGTCATTAACTCCATTCACAGTATATTTTGATACATACTTAACTTGAAACAAATGGATAGGAGGGTCACAAGTCACTAATATTATTTAGGTATTAAGGAAAGAGCTGCAAATAGGTGCTTTCATGTTAAACTAGTCGAACCTGTCATATGATTAATCCAATGGCATTCAATTAAAAAGTAATCTAGAAGCGATGGGCGATTTCTTTTTTCAATACCTACAGCAGGATGTAACATTTGGGTAAATCTTAAAATATATACTGTCATTAGATTTAGTTTGCCATTTGTATTAGAATATACCTTAATTTTAATAACCAGGTAAAGCAAAAATAATGGCAAATTTATTTAGTACTTATGTACATGCAGGGCTATATAAACAACCGTGTAACTGCTTCATTTTGCAGCATTATTTGGCTTGACTTTTGTTTATTTATTTTTGTAAAGTTTAGATAAGCCTAACTTTTAGATAACCTTAGCCTTAACTTTTCCTTCTCTTTATTAGAAATCTAAGCAAGAGCTTGATGAGGAAGGACAAGAGATGCCCCAAAAGGAAATGGCAGGCAACAATGTAAAGATGGGTCGCCTACAGCCGCTGCTGGAAGTGACAATCCGGGAAGCAGAAGCTCAGCCCTTTGAAGTGCTCATGCAGTTCCTTTACACAGACAAAATCAAATACCCACGCAAAGGTAGAATAGTAGAATTGCTTCCTAAGAAAAGTAGTGCATATTTTCTCTGTCTCTTTCTGGAATTCATCTTTCTAAGAAAGAAAAAAAACAACTAACGTGACTAATGACAGAGGCTTAGGATACCTAAACCAGATGCAAATTTCATGTGATCGCCATCTGCAGCAAATTTTAATACGCTTATGCCTGTCTGTCGCAGAAAAGATCAGAATACAGCTGTGCTTCTGACGTGTTCCCAACATGATTTGTGAAACTTTGAGCAAAATGTGCATTAGAGATCCTCAGCAATCGGGGGTAATAGCTGCCCATGGAAAGGTGCCTTTTCCTAACATTACAAGAAATATTTGTAGGAAATATTTAAGAACCTTAAATTCTCAAAGTTCTTAAAAATATTTAAGAACCTCCAGCAGCAGACTGAATATTGAGGCTATGAATTCTCAGCTGAGATGTGTTGAGAATTTGTGCCTTTGAGCTTAAAGGGAGATGGAATACCAAGGAATAAGAAGAAGAAAAAGGAAAGAAAGGGGGAGCGCAATGTCTGTCCAGGAGATAATAAGCCAAGTGCTTTCCTATATTATACTCTTGAACAGGAAAAGCGTTTAGGTAAAGGCTTGAGCAAAGTAGTTATTTTATCACTTCTTATTATCCCTCCCTGTTTGTGTTCCCCAAGCAAGTAGCCTACTTACAGAGCAGAATTTTGTGATCAGATTTTTAAACAATAATTTTTAAAAGACTATATGCCAGTGATGGCGAACCTTTTAGAGACCGAGTGCCCCAAAACTGGCCCCGCCCCCGCTCCACCCCCTGCTCCATCCCCTGCTCCACCCCCTGCCCCGCCCCCCACCCCGTCGCCCACTCCACCTGCCCGCAGGGCCACTCACCGCCTCCAGGGCCCACCGTAGATCGCCCAGGCAGCCCAGCAGCTCCATGGCCACGCCTTCTTCCTGCGCCCCACAGCATCAACTGTGCAGGATGGGGCATGAGGGCAGAGTCTTGTCTACGCTGCCTGGCTGCCATGTCCTTGGCTGCGCTGCTCCGTGTGGGCCACGCTCAGGGGCGATTCTCCTCCGGGGAGGCTGCTGGTGAGGGAGTTGTGGGGGGAGGTGAGGCTGGGGCAATGGCACATGTGCCCACGGAGAGTGCTCCGAGTGCCGCCTCTGGGACGCGTGCCATAGGTTTGCCACCACTGCTATATGCAGTACCAGAACATGTGCTTTATAGGCCAGTGTTTCTAGATTAAGCTAGTAGCTGTCCAGCTTAAAGATTCATCTTGCAAGATCTTTATTGTGACCAGGAATCTAGAGAACTACTACTGATCAGAATAAAGATAGTGTTTGACTTACAACCATTTGTTTAATGGTGGTCCAGAATTACGCCTCAGAAAGGATGCTTTATGACCCACAAAACATTTCCAGATGTTGCAAAACGTTGCACCCTTATCCCCACAGTCACACGATCACAATCAGGATCCTTGGCAACCTGTTCGGACTTAAAACAAGTTGCCAAACTCCATGCGTTCATGTGATTGTCATCGGCAGTCTTCTCTGCTGACTTCCCTCTGGGGGTTGGCTGAAAGAGCTGCCTATCGAGAAAAGCTGAACTCCTTCGATGTGGTGCAGGAGCAGAGCTGAAGGAGATCCTTTCCAATGCCAGAGAGGAGCTGAAATCCTTTGGCAGGCAGATCTTTCAGCCAGCCCCCAGAGACAAGAGGGACCCAAAAATCCAAGAAGAGTTTAGAGAGAGCACCAAAAAATGCTGCAGTGCAGACCCTGGCCTCCGAGGGCCTCCACCACCCAATGAGATACCCTGTGCTACACTAATGACCTGCACTGTCATTTAATGACCACAACAGGGAATGCAGGGATTGTGGTCATTAAGTGAGGCAATTAGGTGAGTATTAATGACTGCCACAACTTAGAATTGTAATAGGCAGGTTCCATTGCAGTCAGGGTGATACAAATATCTCTTGTCTTCCACCGCAATGTTTTCATCTTTTTGTATTTTATTGCTCTGTATTGCATTTCTTAACATAAAGGAACATGCATGCTTTAATAGCATTTTAATATAGGCCTTTAGAGCAGGGATGTCAAACTCAATTTCATTGAGGGCCGCATCAGCATTGCGGTTGCCTTCGGGGGGGGCGGGGGTGCGTGGCCAGGGTGGGTGCAGCCTACTGGTAGGTGTGGCCTACTGGTGGGCATGGCCAGCTCTACATCGTTCGCGTCAAGGGTGCCTGTGGGTGCCTGGGCAGGAGTGGGACAGATCTGAGGGTCTCTGGCAGAAGGGGGTGGGACCGGAGCAAGCGCCGAGGCATGGTCCATTTCTTCATTCCTCACAAAGGGCGACACCTCCCCAGCATGCACCCAGGGGGCGTGGCCGACGCGGCAGGGGCTAGTTTCTCGTTGTTTCCAGATGGCCTTGTGGAGCTAAGACTGAATGCGTTTCAGCATAGATGGCCATCACAAAATTGTACATTGGCTCCCGGTCAGCCTGGGCCAGGGCCAAGGCAGCGGGGGCCATTCCCTCACTGTTTCCAGGATGGCTTCACAGGCCACATGAAACCACTTCGTGGGCCGCATCCGGCCCCCGGTCCTTGTGCTTGACATGTCTGCTTTAGAGCCTCATTATTGCAATATTAATATTGGGAATCAAATAATTTTCTTTCCTGCCTGCTTTCTCACCTGTCACATTCTTTGCAATATGTGCAATGAATTTATTTTTTTGTTATTGTTGCATAGGGCATGTGCAAGATGTTCTGCTCATCATGGATGTGTACAAGTTGGCACTTAACTTCAAACTATCCAGACTGGAACAACTCTGTGTCCAATACATTGAGGCTTCAGTAGATCTGCAGAATGTACTTGTTGTATGTGAAAATGCAAACAAACTTCAGCTGGATCAGCTGAAGGTAGGTTTTTGGGAAAATTATAGCCTGTGGTTAAAGCACTGGCTAGAAATCAGGAGTTTGTGAGTTATAGTTCTGCCTTGGGCACAAAGCCAGCAGCATGACCATGGGTCAGTCACTGACTGTTAGTGTTAGGAAGTAGGCAATGGCAAACCACTTCCAAGGTGGGTGGGTGTGTGCGCGTGTGTGTGCACATGCACGTGTGCGTGTAGAATTAATGAATTTTCATATATAAAACTGTTTCATTTTAAACTAACTTGAAAATTCTGGTACCAGGCCATCAATTTTCAAGTACTTTTCTTGAATGAAACCACCCATTCTTGCCTGTGTTTCAGCTTTTTTCCATTGTTCATGTATCTGTAAACTATGCAAACTTGAATTATTTAAGGAGATTTCAGCTCTATTGGAAAATAAAAAGTAAATGGACCTGATCCTATTGGTTAAATAAAATAGAAAAGTAGGTGTTGCAACTAAAGGAGAAGGTATGCAAGCCAATATTTTTCCTATGTAGAGAGACTCTGTTAAAGAACATTGGCAAGAATCAAAGGAAAAGAGCTGTGTAATTTCTGAATTTGAATCTTTCAGAATTAGCTTCTATAAATATTGCAGAGTTAACTGTAATGCTTGCAAAATCGATCATTTATACTTTACTATATTGTAGAATTTTTATTCTATTATATTGTAGAATTTTTCTACAATTGGTTGAAATTGTAGAAAAAAATGTTCCAAACATGATTTTTTTACAGTGTAGGGCTATGTATATGTACTCATATGCACACATATGCTTTTTGTTTTTTAGGAACACTGTCTGAATTTTGTGGTAAAAGAATCACACTTTAATCAGGTAATAATGATGAAAGAATTTGAACACCTTTCTTCATCTTTGATAGTAGAGATAGTACGAAGAAAACAGCAACCTCCATTTCGAACACATTCTGATCAGCCTCTTGATATTGGTAATGTACCTTCCATCCAAAATGAACTATTGTTTGCACGCTACAGTCTGTGTATAAATTATAGAAGTCTGGAGTACAAGATAGAATTAAAATCCATAAATGTTCAGTTTTCTTTATTTTACTTAAACTTTAGTATTCATTCTAAGATGTATTAAAACATCCACCCCTTTTTTCTACCTACTAAGATTTAGAATACTACTGGATTGGTTATTTCCTATTACAAACCTCTTTCTACAGAAGTAAAAATTGGAGGGTAATGACAGAGTCTATTTACTTGACTTAATGTCATGTCGACAAGACGTTTCAGATTCCTAAACAACATTCATTATATACTATAGGTAGTCCTCGACTTATGACCATAATTGACATCACAATTTTGGTCTCTAAGTGATGCAGTCATTAAGTGAGTCATCATGTGACCAGGCCTGATTTTACGTTACCGCAGTTGTTTAGCAAATCATGTGGCTGATAAGTGAATCATGCAGTTGTTAAGTGAATTTGACTTCCCCCATTGACTTTGCTTGTCGGAATCCGGCTGGGAAGGGTTAAGATGACTGCAAAACACTGCAACTGTTGTAAATGTGAGTTGCTTGCTAAGTGCCTGAATTGCAATCATGGGACTATAGGACCATAAATTTGAAGACATAACTCACTTTTTTCAGTGCCATCGAAACTTCAAACTGTCCTTAAAAATGGTAATAAGTTAAGGAATACCTGTAGTAGCACCTACATGTACATTGCTTGTCTAACTGCCTCTTATTGCTAAAACTGATAAGGTGTTCTCTTTAAATTTAAAGCCACAGCATTTTGCAGGGTGATAATGACAATCCTTCAGTCATTCTATAGGAGGAAAAAATGAAAATGTGTTTTTCATATCTCCAATTATATTTTCCAAGTATATGTGCTAATCTCTGACACTGCTGATTATGATCAGTTTGCTTGGAATGAAAAAAAGCTTATCACTATGAGAAGTAATTAATATTTTGCCAATTAAAAATTTTCAAACTTCCCCCAGGTATATCAGCTTTGTAACTCTACCGTGCAGTAATTCGTATCTGTTAACTATTTTCCTTAGCTAGTCAATTTGTTGTCTCAGAATTTAGAAAGAGTACAATAGCTTGTAGCTTACTTTGGCTTTAAAAAAACGGTTCAGGGAAACAGAAATTGAAAAAAAATCTTCCTGGTAGAAGGCAATTGCAAATCAGTTCTACATTGTTGCCAAGAAAACTACGTGAACATGTCTATAGTTAGTAACTTGACTTGGGGAATTTGGTACCTTAGATTATCAAATATTATAAAATTCCTATTGATCTTCCTATGGCATTATATTGCACTGAAAAGGTGGATACTGTACATAATTGCAAATCATTTCTAGCTGTTCTGGTATAATTAAGTCAATAATTTTTAACGTCTTGGGAAAATCTTTATGTTCCTGTGCAGGAACGTCATTGATTCAGGATATGAAAGCCTATTTGGAAGGTGCTGGTCTAGAATTCTGTGATATCATTCTACTATTAGATGGTCATCCAAGACCAGCTCATAAAGCTATTCTTGCAGCTCGCTCTAGGTATGTTTTACATTTTAATAATCCATTATATAAAATTATACAGATGTTAAAATATAATTTGTTATTCTGACTTCTTTTTATTGTAAGATAAAAATTAGGCGGAAGCTTGCATGATTCCCAGCTATTCTGAACAGAAGGAGACTTCAATATTTTGAATGCAGAACTTTTATTGATATATATATCAGGCTGCCCTCCTGTACCATACATTAAAAATACAGTGAAAAATAGAAATGTTTGATAAGAAATGTTGAATAATTTTATTTATTTAAATTTATTATTTATTCATCCATCCATTCATTCATGTTTCTGAACTTCCCATCTGTATGGGGAGTATGAATAATATTGTATAAAACCCTTGTAAGTTTAAAAACACTGTAAATTGGTTGCATTTGAGAAACAAAATTTTTAAAGAAGCATTTAAAAATGCTCCAGTATTTCATTCTCTTCCCTTTATTTTATTTGTTGAACAACCAACCAGTGACACAATTTGTTTCTTCCTTTTTCCCCCAGTTACTTTGAAGCCATGTTTCGTTCTTTTATGCCAGAAGATGGCCAAGTTAATATTTCAATTGGTGAGATGGTGCCAAGCAAACAAGCATTTGAATCTATGCTACGATATATTTATTATGGTGAAGTGAATATGCCTCCTGAAGACTCCCTGTATCCTTTATCTGGTTTAATATGTTACTCATGTTAGGTATTACAACAGAGATTCTCAGTGTTTTCTAGCTGAGGGCATACTCTTTCCATATGCCAGGGACTACAAACCAAAATGAGTGGTGCCAGGACAAAACCCACAGTAATTACAGGTACCGCTCATTTTGTACAACTCTGGATGCAGAATTATATACAGGTTAACTTATAATATTTGGTAATAAATATCCTGAATAGGGATTCTGTGAATCTTGTAGGATAGAATAGAAGAGGACAAATAAATACTTAC